TTTAACTTTAAGCGTATGTGTAACAAAATATAATAAAATTAAAAAATAATATTCAATATAAAAAAGGCACTTAAGTGCAAAACATATAATATGCACAATTGTTTGAAATTTTTCTTTTTTTTTTTTAAAAAAAAAAAAAAAAAAAAAAGAACAGAAGAAGAAGAAGAAGAGGACAATCTACTAATTTCCCGAAAAGTTTTATTCATTTTCTCTCAAAGATTTATCAGACACTATCATCCATCCATAGTTCCATCTTTGACACTCTAGAAGGCAGGGAGTGGACTGTGTGACAAAGACCTGCTTCGAAGTAACAACATATGATCTGCATCAACCATTGATTGATTATGTACAACTTGGTAAAACTGCAACATGATAGCAAAGGAGGCAAGTGACCGTACCTCAATGGTAATTTATATAGGAGGTCCATTGATGGTCCATATTGATATATATAAGATGCATCCGTTCAAACTTGAATTACATCATCACCACAAGAGCTTTTCTGAATTATTTGGGGTCGGCTACGAGGCTTAAATGCATAAGTCCAAATCTGAATTGCATGTAAAGCTTAAATGCCTAGGCACTTTGTTTATCTCAGGTAGCTGATTTTAGGAATCATGCAAGACGAAGTCGGTGTTGTCAAATTCACAGTAAACTATTTCACTAAAAATTCGAACCATTACACCTGATACCTGGAACTTTGAATAGGGAATGGATGTTACTGAGCAAATTCAACCGCTATCATCAAGCAGCCATGTTTATGTATTGGTTGTCAACAACTACTTCAATGTCTTGATAGAGCCGGTTGGTTGTCAATAACTATTTCAAGTAGATGGTACCAGTACGACTTACGAATGTCATATTAAAGAAAATTGGCTATTTTGTTCAAAGGCATATTATCTATAGATATGGTGTAAATAAGCATAACATGATATTATAATAGTACTGAAAGTAGACCTATGTGATCTAGCACGGGGTATGTAAATTTTCACGTTTTTTGTTCTTTTATTTTCCACCAACTAGATCACTCACAATGGTTAAAAGTACAATAAAAGATATCTTTAGCAAACAAACAAAAACCGGTTCTCACTTGCTACCACTTAAATACAACTTTTTTATTCATAAATTAAAATTTGACATATTGCTTTATAGGAATAGAAGAGTACAACATAAAAATAAAATAAAGCAAGTAAAGTTGCTGAAGATTACCTCAATCGGACTTATTACACCCCACATCGAGTCTCCTCCTTCTAATGGTGCTCCGGATCAATGATCGGTCTCTTAATTCTACTAAGTGTGATAAAACCTTCTCAAAAGCATATGAAACTCGATCTAGAATCAAAGTGTTAAGGCCTCAATGCCTTAACCTACCTAAGTCCTCTTGGCTAAAAGTTAGAGAGATGAGAGAGAGATAAATCTTCTAGGTGGGGCATGCCCCCTTGTTCTACCTTTTCTATGAGAGAGAGAGGGAGAGAGAGCTTTCCTTGTATGGAGCGTGTCCCCTTTGCAACCAACTAATGAGAGAGAGAGGCCTAGGTGGGGCATGGTCCTTAGAGAGAGAAAAGTAAAGCTTAGAGAGAGCTTTTACAGAGAAGAGAGAAGAGGATATGTGTATAGAATTATGGGAGAAAGAGCCTATTTATAGGTTTTCTATGTTTTAGGATTTGTCATATTTAGTGAGATCAAATCTAAATCATTGATATAAGGAGATTTATGGGGTGAGAGATGTGAATCATCCATCATTCCTTAAATCCACTATCAATATTCAAATGGAGATGCTAGAACTTTATCTTTCATTTCTTAAACCTATTCCCATCAAAATTTTAAATAAAAAAAATATATTTTTACTTTTTCTTTTAATGGATATTCATTTCTTATTCATTCAATCTTGATCAATCAAAATATGTTGATTCACAACACATATTAAATTTCATTACATTGATTCCTAATACATGACGGCTTCATAAAAAAATAGCAAGCCACCTAGTATGGAGGTTTCTCATAGCATTTAGTAAGCAAGCTCTTATGGGTGGGGCATGCCACCCTGGGTGGCCCTTGATGGGCCCCAATCAATTCTACCAGGTGATTAAATGGGCGACAATACCATATGGAGGGTCCCGCATATTTTTAGTAAACACTTAATTTAATTTTAGAAATTAAAATAGAATTTATTTTTCTTAGTTTATTTAAAATATTAGGAATTGATTTTCTCTTATATTATAAATCTAAATGATGAAAATAAAATATCTAGAGAATTACAAAAAATTCAAATAATCATTATAAAAATTATATGACAAAAAATTAATTAAAACTAATTAATTTTGATGGAAATCGGATCCGAATAGGTCTAGGAACTATGAATATACTGGAGCATTCCACCTCTAATTGTGGACCACGATGCACACTAACTTTATCAAACTAACTCAGCGATTCCTATGACCCACAGTCCATTGCATGGGTTCATGATCGGGCCACCAAAGTCAGCCAATAGGTTAGGTGACATAATGCCAGTTTATGGATTACAAGTTCTCCCATAGAAACAAAACTATAGCCCTCCAAACCATTATGTAATCACGGCTCCATAGTGTATAGGAGTAATTACTCGCACATTTACATGTTTCATCCTCAATGGTGGATTGCTATTAAGATAGATTTATCTATGTATATGCGGTGTGATTGTTCAGGGATGAGGTTTTGACCTGGTTTCTAAAAGCCTACCATCACACACAAGGGTCATGCAATCCCTCAGCTCCATTATCCGGGCAACTTCATCATCATCAAGGGATAACCCAATGAACTCTCATCGATTTAACTTTATGCCTAAGTACCTTTGGTTTTTCAACTCGACTGACCTAACACATCGAATCAAATTCGAGTATCAGCAAATAACATTTATCTAGTATGGTCCACAAGATGACCATACTCCCACTGAATTTATGTTTCACAATATAAAATATTTTATACGAGCTCCACAAACGTCTTTAATGGCCACATAAACCAACATGTAAATCTTTAAAAACAAATCAAGTCATAGGCTTCAAACCAAATTTCACATTAATTGGAGATATTTTTCTATGCAGCGTTTTAAAACTCGGCCAAAGCTACTTGGACTTGGCCGAGTAACTCAGCTTTACCCTATAAGGGAGGCGAGCTTTGGGCGAGTTAGATGCATTTTTTTGTTCAATTAACTTAACAGCTCAAATTTAAGTCAAATGCGCTGTGAAGTCTTTCTAATCAGTATTGCATAATAATATACTGTTGTACACTACTTTCAAAAAAATCAAATTTTAAGTTCCAAAAAGTTGAAGCGCCAGCAAGACTTTAACTTAAGGCATCGATTTGTCGCACACTACTTTTAAAAAAGTTATCATTTTTTAAGTTCCAAAAAGTTAAAGCCTGAGCAAGGTCCATAAAAACAGAGCATGCTAACCAGCGCACCATTTTATGACGTACATAATAAAGATGGTGCTTGTGATATATAACCATTATTTTATCTTTATTATAAAAAATAATAATAAAGCTGGACTCATGGCAAATTATTCGGACTCGTCTGAATAACTCGTTTCGATCAAGGCCCGAGTTCTGTGGCCGAGTCGATACTGTATCTATAGGTATATAATCTAATAGTTGAAGCCTTCGACGAGTTGCTGCTATTAAGAAATCAATCACAGGAAATTAAAAAAGACTGGCATGAAAAATTGTCCAAAATATGATTACAAACAAACCTTTCTTACCTTGTCAACCTCTTTGTAGCCGGTTGTAAAATATCCCATAAAGTTGAGGAAAGACTACGATGACAATAATCCTATAAATTTCCTTCGACAATTTTCTCAGAAGCCCACATTTATAAATTGAAAATAAAACCTATTTATCCTTCCTCCTTGAATTAGTATCCCTTTCATTTTGATCGAACGATGCTTTTTCTTGCGGATATTTTGATGCTACAAGACCCATATTGTGGATCTCAAATCCAACCAAAACCTTCATGTAGATACGACATTTATCATATTTTTCTTTCATTAACAGTTATGTTCTATATTCTTTAAAGAGGTATTCTTTTCACAAAAGAAAGCCTGATGATGTTTGTCTGGTAATCGAATAAAAGCAAAAATATATTCACCCAAAAGAGAGAGACATTGCAATTGTCTCAATGGTTTTTGGCTTTTTTCCCTGTAACACAATGATTTTTTCCTCTGTGACATGTTAATGAGTTAGGATTGTCGCTCATTCGCGTATCTGAGACCAGCATTCAACTAACTCGGGCTTGCCACACTTGCGAGTTTGGCAGTCAAGCTTGAGGATGTTTAAAAAAAAATTGTAAAAATATAAAAATTCAAAAAAAAATAAGAAATTTATTTGTAATATGTTTTTTTATATTTTCTATCATTTTGGCGAAAATAGGATAGGTTTTTTGGCCGTGAATTCTTATTTTTACATTTTCCTTTCTTTTTGGGTTATTTCTAAAAGTACCCATAGTCACAAATTGTTTTTTGAAAATTGATTTTTTACAACCTTTTCAACCTCATTTAGATGTATTTTGTTTATTTTTACTTCAAACATATTTTTCATACTCTTAAGATTTTTATTTAAGATCGGCTATTTGGGGCTCGGCCCATGGCCGAATCCATACTCTCCATTAGCACCCATAATCTTAGACAGTGTTAGATCTAAGATCTATAGACCACCTTTACATATAGTCAAAAGAGTGTATGCTCCCGCAAGAGCAAATCCTCCATTCACCCCTTTGATAAAATTTAAATTTGGAAATATTTTTATTTTAGGATCACAAGTTTGGGGAAGTAACTCTTCATTGCCACCCATAACTCGGTATTCCAATTAGAAAATAATGTTACATAATTGCATAGAGAATCAAATTTTAAGTGAAAAAACTAAAAATTCAAATTATTTTAGAAAATACTTATCTGATGACTTCAGAGTCTAGAGTGGATCACAAATTTTAAAACTCAAAAAAAGATAATCTTAAATAAGTTTTTTAATGAGGGAGTAAATATACAATGAGCTCCTGCTGGAGCACGACGTCACAGGACAAAACCCGGACCCAAGTGACAATTGTAAAGATGGTACACTATCTTACATGGCAATAAAATTCATAAAAGACTTGTAAGAAAAGACGCTCGCGATACACCAGGAAGCACATATTGCTACTAAGCAGTGTTCCCGCAGGTGCATGCATCGAACATAAGGAGAACCGCCCCATGTTTCATTGCTTCCTGTTATTGTAACTCACTAATTCCTCAATGAGGAGGGAGAGGCTGAGATGAGAGGAGCCCCCCTCTTCCACTGCCTTTCCTGCCATCTCCCCCACCTTCATGGCCCTATCCCTCATCTCACTGTTGCTCATCACCTCACACAAGGCTCTATGTATCTCCTCTTTCCGAACCAGTCCATTGGGGTCGTCTTTTGAAATTTCGACCCCTGTTTTCAGCACATCCACCACCAACCTTGCATTCAAGGGCTGCTCCGCGAACATTGGCCAGGCAGCAAGCGGCAGCCCAACGCTCAAGCCCTCCAGTACCGAATTCCAACCGCAATGTGTCAGGAACCCCCCGGTTGCTGCGTGCGACAGGATCAAGAGCTGCGGCGCCCACCCCCTGATTATCATTCCCCTGCCCTGCACGCGCTCCTCGAACCCCTCAGGCAGCCATTGGTCCACCTGCTGGGCATCCCCCTTCACCACCCAGATGAAGGGCCGCCTGGAGGCCTCTAGCCCAAGTGCGATCTCCACCAGTTGGGCTGGGTTGAAATGGCTGATGCTGCCAAAGCACACATACAAAACAGAACCCTGCTTCTGTGAGTCGAGCCAGCTCAGGCACACTCTTTCGTCGATGGAGGCCTTCATTCCCCGCTCTGCTTTGTCTGCCTGGTCTCGATTATAGAGTGACACCGGGCCGATGGGCCATGCCTTCCTTCCCATCACATTTATGTAGTAGTCGACATATCTGGGCTCCAGCTCATGGAAGCTGTTCACAACCGTGCCGTAACTCTGGGCATCAGCTTTCTGCATCTCTTCGAGAACTTTGCCGAGCCCGGAAACGATCCATGCTATGTTCTCCTTTGAATGCTCAGGCAGCTGGGCTTTCGTGACTGTTATTTCATCCGAAAGGCCGGGTAACACAAAGGGCTCCGTGTCTGAGCCCACCCTCTTTTGAGGTTGGTGTACATATAGGCTGTGCCAGCAGCACTGGCTGAAGCAATTGGAGGTATGGAAAGCAAGCCTTGGGATGCCCAAGGCTTGCGCCGCCTCGGCTGTCCATGGGAGAAACGTGTCAGAGATGATACAGAGAGGATTCTTAGTCTGTCTGATGAGCTTCTCAAAGGGGTCTCGCAGCATCTTTGTGGCCTCGAAAAAGTTCATCAGCAAATGGGTCGATGGGAGACTGTCTAAATTCTCGCACCCCTCAGGCAAGCCTGCTTCCATACAGGGGAACTCAATCTCAAGGATTTGCATCCTGTGGCCCGACGCAGCTGCCCTGTCCAGGATCGAACGGATGCGGGAAGCATTGAGTGGTGTGGTAACGATGCTGACAGCAAGCCCACGCTTTGCGAGCATCCGGGCGAGGTCGATCATGGGTAACATGTGGCCCTGAGCCATGAGTGGGAACACCACCACATGATGTCTTTGGTCTGAATCTCCCACCCCAAACATCCTGAACTTTTCAAAAGAGAAGCTCTTTATGTGAGAAATTTGCTTCCAGTGTTGTAAAACGTTTTCCTGTTACATAAGAAGGTTTGGTGTGGCTATTGTTCTTGGGGTTACGCAACCAGCTGGTCTCATGGACTGTTTTACAGGGAAAATATTAAATAAGTTCTTATTCAAAAGCCTTCCTATCCAAAAAGCCAAGAAATGTATGTTCATATTTTAGAATCTGAAATAAATCTCAAGTCAATTTAGATGCATTTTTTCCTTTTATTTATGTTTATGAAGTCCAACAAAGAGTGCAGATCTGATATTGAAAGAATTGAAATGAAAGGTTTAAAAATGAAGTTTACAGTTATATGTCCTTCAAGTTCCAAATCTATTTAATATAAATTCATCATCAACCTGTGGAAGTTTTGTTTAAAATTTGAAGTCAAAGTCTGTGGCATTTTGAAGGAGAAATGTGTGCCTTGGCTCCCCTATTTTTATCTTAAACAAAATGAATAGGTAATGCACTTACTTGGAAGACAATCTAAGGCAAAAAAAGTATTAGAAAAAGACTTGAAAGACCAAGAAAGATTAAACCATTAAAAAGAGAAAGTGTAAGCCCCAAGCTATGAGACTGGTCCATAGGCTTTTGGCAAATAATCCACTTGACCTAAGAATTAAGATAAGAGAGCAGGTATGCATCACTTTCTGCTCTCTAGGTGTCTTGGGTATTAACTTATCTCTAGGCGTCTTGGGTATTAACTTATGAATAATTTTTTAGATATTAATATTATCATCGTCATCTAAGTTTTATTTCAATTATTTAGGGTCGGTTTTACTGAATATTTGCCTGAGGGAAATTATTTTTTCGGCCTAAACCTCATCAGTTGGGTTTTCAGAAAAATAGTCTGAATTATTGTATTAGAGAAAATATATGGTCCTCTTATAGAATGGCGCACACATATCCCCAGCTGATCTCAAACTACATGCTGGCTTTTCAGGGAGGTGTAATGCGATTAAGAGGGTATAGAGATGTTGATTGGGCGGGTAACTCAAACATCAGCATATATCTTCAAGCTCTAAGGAGGGGCAGTTTTTATATGTAGTAAGATAGGATATGAGTAACATGATCGACAACAAAATCGGAATATATAGCTTGTTGTTCTGCATCTCAGGAGACTGGGTCAAAAAATTACTGTAAAACTTAGAGATAGTATCATATGACAACTTAAGATGGTATCATATGACAACTTTGTAATTGTGTTTTGTTATAGTATGGGACCACAAGGATTCCAAGCATCACAGTTAATGAAAAGACAGACAATAAATATCATTATGTGGGACATATGATTGAGAAATAGTCATAAAACTTATTCTAATGAGCAAATATTCGTGACATATATCCCACGAGCAAAGAGCCATGACACTCCCCCGGGGGCAAATAGTCTACAAGGACATAGCAAATAGTCTACGAGGACAGAGACATTAAGGGCCTGAAATCACGACTCTCTGCTCGTGGTATGTGTCATGAGTCGGGACTATCTGCTCCTGAGTGATGACTATATGCTCATGGGAATTTGTGACTATTTATCAATCATGTGTCCCACTAACGGGGATGGTTGGAATCCTTTTCAAACCTTGTGGTGTCATATTCTAACAAACACAGTCCCAAGTTTTGTGTCATATCATACCATCTCTAAGTTTTCCTGCAATTTTTTGACTCATACAGTGGCATGTGATGTTGAAGGAGAAGCTATATATTCTAATTTCATTGTAGATCATGTTACTCATAGCATTAGTACACATAAAACCTGCCCCTCCTTTGGGACACTCAATTCAATTATTCGAATAACATCAGATTTGTATTGTGTTCTGAGCTCCAAATTCACAGATTTGAGGCATAACTGAATTTGCAGCAATTGGGGACCTTTTCATGGCTCTCAACCCTTGAAAATCAGGATTGACACAGGTCCACAGACATACAAGAACTTTTGCCTAACAATACCCTATAAAGAGAGAGATAATATGATTATTGTAAAATAAAACCAAGCTAAATTAGGAAATTTAAATACCTCTGATACCTTCCTGAAAATTAACTTCAGTATTTTCTTAGTATTCCACTATTTTTAATGAGCTCTCTGTTTATCCATGGAAAGGAACTTCGTAAATTTCAGTTTGTGGCCCACAGGAAAGAAAGCTGACACACAAGAGAGATGATGGCCTTTTTCTAGGTTGTTATGAAGGCCCGGTCCTGCCCGGTCCTTGTTCCCTAGGGCCAATACTAGCCCGGTGCTAGCCCTAACCGTTACTGGGCTAGGCCAAAAACAAATAAAACAAAAGTAAAAGAAAACATAAAAAAAAGAGAGCCAACGGCAGGGGTGAACCAGGCAGGCACAGGCCCAGGCCCGGCTAATTTTTCCGGTCCAGGCCGGGCCTCTGGGTCCATTTCCAGCCCTAATTAGGACCCAGCCCTAGTTGTTAGGTAGGATAGTGGACGTAGTAAGACAAACTAGAAAGTAGAAACTAATCCATAGATTTTAAAACTATAAAACACACATCCACAAGAAAGCTAATATTTGAATGGATTTTAAAACTATAAAACACACATCTACAAGAAAACTAATATTTGAAGGATTACTACGAAGGGATCTGAAATTTGATGGAATACTATTTTATTAAATCCGAGGGAATAATAAGAATGGAAGATAATCGTAAACGGTCACCTTTTACTATTTTTTCATAGTGTTTGTGTATATTTTTATACATGATCGGAAAAATATAAACAACTTAATTGTCCTATAAATTAGATCATTTTTTTTCCTTTTGGAACTTTTATACATGGGACCATTTACATGTGAAACTAGGGAGATTATGAAAATCGATTTATAGATGGATGAGAATTATGTCTGCAACCTATGTTCATTTTAACACACAACATAATTTTGGCAATAGCAAAGTTCTCATTCAGCTATTTTTATTTTTCTCTATTTAGAACACTTCCATTTCCCTTTCAACCTGTCTCTGATGATCAGTGAAGTAAATAGAAGCAATATTTACAAGAACTATACTAGCCAAAAAGACAAAAAAAATAATAATAATCCAAGAACCATGAATAATCACCAATTAATCATAAACTAAAACTCCACAAAATTTGATACAAAATATCCACTTTGGCTTATCCACAAACCACAATACATCATTAGATGTAAACCTTATGCTAAGTCCATATGCATGGATGAAGATTGAACAGTGTGAGGCAAACTTCATTATTACAATGATAGAGAGTGAGAGAGAGAATCCTTAAGTTAGAATAACACTAATAACTGAGAGAGAATGATCATCAGCCTTTGGCCTTATACCCATAATACCTCTTGAAAGCCAGTGGCAAGTAAACAGGCAGCAAGAACGCAAAGAGATTGAAGCACCAAAACATTAAATTGGCAATTGCAAGCCCCCTCCCTATTTGCAACCTCCTCATTGATCCCATTTCTCCCTCTTTCACAATCTCACCTCTAACCCAATCCACCAATGTAAAAACCCTCCTTGTGCTGTAAAATATGGGTACAAAAGCTCTGATTGGCAATGAAAAACCCCTCCTAATAGTGAATCCTTCCATGAACACTTGAAAAGCTAGCAAGAAAACATGGGGCGCTGCAATTTTGATCCCTTCTTTATCCCCCTCTAAAATCCCCTCAAAAATATACACAATTGGTAGAATCATCCCTATAATTGCACCAACCATAATATAACAGTTGAATAATTTATTGTTCTCTCTAAAAACTCTGGGCTCTGGAGTTGAATTCATTTGTGGAAAAGCAACTTTAGACATGATTAGAATGTAAAAGACAGAGAGGATCACAAAGGCAATGTCCTCAAGACTTACCAGACCAGTTGCTGCAAAGATCACAACAATGGCAAGACAGTTTAATTGCCTAAAAGAGAGGAAGCATAGGCTCCTCTGATTCTTTTGGGGTAATGGGTTTTCTTCAGGGATGTCTTTGCATACTGCACTTCCTACCCCACCTGACATTTTTTAGCAGAAATGGAGATTTTGATTGATCTTTTACTCCTCTTATGGCTTTTTCTTACTTCCTTTCTTTGCTTTTCTCTTCACTGTCTCCCGACTGGTGTTCCGGTTGGAGTAAAGAGGGGCAGCAAAAAAGCTACAGATCTTTTTGGTTCTGGACAGACAAAAACAAGATCTCTAATCTTACAGGGTTTTTTATGTTTGAGAGGAAGAGTTTTGTATGAATTTGTCACAGGGAGGTTAGAAAACTGGACTGCTAATGTGGAGGCAGTGAGTTGCGTGGAGACTTTATGTGGTTTGATGGCTGAAATTTTGACACGTATACCGGAAAGAGATGTTCGGTCAAAAAGCACGAGATGAAGAAAACGATTTCCTACCCCCGCGGGAGTATACTATCTATTTACTTCCTCAGTTAGCACTCTTAGATATATGAGATATAATCTCTACACCCCATAAACTACTCTTCCTAGACTAAGGAAAAACATAATACCTCAAAATTGAGTACTAAGTTTTGGAAGCAAAGTACTAAGAAAAAATAATACCTCAAAATTGAGTAGAGACTCTCCAATTTTTTAAGAATTAGATCTACGTGTCATAAAATTCCAAATTCAAAACTTTTCCTTTGAAAATAATTATGCGGTAATTGTATCGTATCGTTCCCAAAATTTTAGACTAAAATAATCTTTCTAGGTGTTTCACATGAGGGCGTAGATACATAGTGTCCTCCTTCGAGAGCATAGTATACGATGCTCGAGTGGGTGACAAATGGGCGACAGGCTTCAGATAAGCATGCGAAAATGGGCCTCAAGCGTCAGATAATCATGTGAAAATGGGCCACAGACGATAGATAATCATGTCGATGCCCCGAACCCAATCCCAAACGATCAACCATTCGATTGTAAAGTCCCTACTTTTCGGATTGCTTCCATATGTTTTTTTGGATCAATAATGTTACTTTTGGGTTTAGCACTTCTTGTTTTCAGTCTTTCTACTTGAACTAATTCACATATTTTAATAAGAGTTATGTTTGGTCGACACGACATATGGTTAAACTACTTATGTCTAATCTCTCTCATTTTATCGCATATTAGTGCTACACCTAAATTCTCTTAAATGGATTCATTGTGAATTATATCCATTCTTATTTTACCACTCATCCATCTCAATATCTTCATCTCCATTACACTCATTTTATGGGTATATTATTTTTTGTCCGCCCAACATTCAACTCTATAGAGCAAAGTTGGTCTCACCGTTGTCTTATAGAATTTGTCCTTCAACCTCATTGGTATAGGACGATTACATAAAATTCCAGTTACACATCTTCACTTCGTTCACCCAACTCTAATTTGACATCTATTTCTCTAGTATCTATGTGAAGCTATCTCTCTTTTGAAAAGTATAAAGGAATCACCCATAGAAAAGTCCTTCACCCCACTTAAAAATGCCCTTGATTTTCTTCCTTCTTCCCACTTTCTTCTTTCTTTGGTATCACTTCATTACCTTAATAAAATCAATTACTGTTAAAAAAAACCCTTAAAAATAGGTTAAAGCAATTGTTTAAAAAGCGGATCGGTGACCCTGATCGGATATCTCAAAAACCAATCCGGATCGGTAAATTGGCGATTCGGATCGAGAATCGACTGGATCGGTCGGATTAAAGCTTCAAAAAAATTAAAAAAAATTATTAAAATTCAATATAAATATTGTTTTTTAGAAATCCAATAAGAAATGAAGGTACTACATTATTAACTTTCATTTTTTTCATCAATTTGTGAATATTGAGATGCTCTTTCCTTGTATAAACTTATGTTAACCATTAAATTTGCATCACATAAAAGGAAAATCATAGAATTATCATAGATAAAATATATAATTATACATGGACTATTATAAAGAGCAGACTAATCAATGAAAGAATGGCCATTAAAATCTCGTTTTGGCGAAAAACCCTAATCCGCTAAAAAATCGAAATTATAACAGCCTAACTAACTATAATCCAAAATTATTAAAATCTAACTAATTATAATATTATATACTAAAATTATAATTATTAGTTTACATTTTATAATTATTTTATTAGACAAATAATAATAAATTTAAAATATTTTATAATATTATTTAATTTAAAATATATTATTGACAACTGTAAGAAAAATAGTACATTACATGATTTATAATGTAAAAATTAATAAATAAAATAAAATATTTGGTTATCAATGTAAAAATTAATAAAATGCGTACAAATTTTGGAAATAACACTTCAATTTTTCAAAAAATTATTTTTTAGGTTTCTATAAAAATTTAGTGAAAGAGATTGTTAGTAGAAAGATGGAGATTTCAAATAGAATAAACTTTTTTTGTTTTAAATTTTTTATGCCTTTCATATTATTTAAAAAAATAATTATACCACTATATACAACAAAAATTAACTGCTATACAAAAAATTAACTTTTTTATTTTTCATTTCTTTATGTTTTTTATATTATTTAAAAAAATATTTATACAATATATACAACACAAAAAAATAATACCCACGAGGGGACTCAACTTTGAGACATCGCCCACGAGGGGACTCGACCTTAAGACATCACATGAAGTAGCAAAAGTCTTAACCACCATGCCACCTCACTATATGAAATTATAAATTGATGATTAATAGAATATATTTAAATTCTTTTTTCATTTAATGATGTTTAGGACTTATCCTACATCGAAATATGGGTATTCCACTTGGGTATATAAATACCTATGTAATATAGGTTAAAATGTTTACGTAGAACTATTAGGGTAACCTCACGTGTGTGTCCCGTGCACGTGTAGGGAGGGAACCGGACAGAACCGGCGGTTCTTCTTTAAAACCAGACGGTTCTCGATTTTGTATCGAAACCGACACGAATTATGTCGATTTTCGAATCGAACTAAACAAATCCGATTCGACTAGCCGATTTTTAAAATACTGGGTTAAAGACATGGGAGGGTGTCTCAAGCAGTATGGCACCATCGTACGAGGCTAAACTAGCCAAGGAATAAAAAGATTAAAGGGTTTTCTTGAAATAGGGTTTTTTCTTGTCAAAAAAAGATTAAAGGGTCCAGAAGTAATATTGTTTTAAAAATCAATGATATGGATTGAAAACAACTTGTTTTGATCAGGTTCAGTGGTTTAGCCTTCCGGGTCTAGGGCTATGGGAATCACCATGCTTTTACCTCTTTTGAATTACTTTTTAGTTTTTATCATTTTCCTTAACTGATCTGGATTCGATCACATCAAAACTTTGATTCCAAACTAAAGAGGTCAGTTGGGATGTTGAGATTGAAGTGACAAACTGACAACAACATAAAGGCCGCATTAATTAGGAAAACGTCTATATGAGGCCGTAATTCATATATTATACAAATAAGGTGCAGTTAAAAAATCTAATAGAAACGAGTGTTTTGAAGTTAGAAAATATTTTAATTGATCATCTTAACTTTAAAATAAATATAAAAAAAAAAAAATAAATATAAAAAAAAAAAACAATTTTAAGTTTTAAATATCGAGCATTTTGTAACAAATTATTTAGACTATTATTTTCAAGATTTTTAAGTGTTTATGGATATGCGTCATCTGCACTATTTTTATAATTTTAAATTTCATAATTAAGATTAAACATAAATTTTTAAATCACCATAAAATTTTCGACGCCACAACTATATCTTTTAGTAAAATTTAGAGATGCACCTTACTTATATAGTATACTTGTATAGTATAAGGTGGTTACTTTATTCAAAACCTCATCCAGCCAATTAAAAAACGGAATTTTCTGAGCGAATCCCCATTATATGGAAAAGCAAGCAATTACTTGGAGGGAATGAAGAAAATTATATGTCCATCAAGAAAGATGGGTAGAACTATGACAGTAAAAAGACGTAAAATCTATATAATTCTAGATGAGTAGGCGTATAGTGGATCGATGTGAGCATGAATTGTCTTGAAATAAAATCAATGGTAGCTTATACTTCTCTCTTTGGTTTCTCCTTTTTTTGAGGATAAATAAATAAATAAATAAATCAAAGATCAAATTTTCATGGACAAGTATAAATTTTTATTGGAAAAAGTTTATATAAGGTTGCAACCTTAAAATGTAGAATTAAAGATGCAACTCGACAATCCATCAAAAAAAGTTATTTTAATGTTGAAAAACCCTCTAATTAATCATATCGACAATGAAATACATGAATATATAACAAACATAATTTTAAGTACCATAAATAGTGTTTATTTCAAGATTTTCATATGTTTATAGATTCTACTTGATTTTAACTACTTTTGGAGTTTAAAATTTTACAATTAGATATAAAATATATTTTCAAATAATCCTAAGAATTTTTTATACCAAAATTACTTGTCATGATAAAATTTGGAGGTGCACTTTAATTGGATTGTTTAAGGTTGCAACCTTATACAAACAACACCCTTGTTTACCACAATGTTTTAAATCTCATAGTCATTTTTGGATTGTATCAATCTAGATTTGCGATCCAATTGCCTAAACTGGTGAAAAGTCGATCAACCATAATAATACAACAAAACTAGACCCACGCCTATCGAGTCCGACTCAAATCGATGATTCCTGATCCAGATCCGTCGGTTTTAAAAGCACAATTTTACTAGGTAGAAAAGATTTCAAAATCAATACAAAAGTCTTTTTTTTCAATTAAATTTTTTTTTTTTGGGTAAGTCAATAGGGGAGAAGGCCCCATATCCAATTTTTTCATTAATAGAAAATGAATAACACATTATTATACAACCCTATATAATAGGGCAATTGCGCCAAATCATATATTAAAAGAAGAGAAAGAAAGTCAGGCGGACAATTGAGGCAATAACTTTGCACAACAATTGTCAACTATCGTATGTAATCTCCAAGGTGCACGACGTTGATTTTTAATGGTATCTACTAGTAGAGATGAGTCACTTTCTATATGTATCAGGAAGCAACCCTTTCTATCTGTATTGGGAAGCAACCCTTTTGAATTGCCAAAAGAATACTTTCCTCTAGAACTTAGAATTCTACAAAATTATTGGACGCAAAACCAAAGTGTTTAGTAAACGCCACCACAAATCCACCATTGTTGTTTCTTATGACCCTACCACCACCTACCAAACCAGGATTGTGCAAGGCCACACCATCAACATTCAGCTCATAACATCGAGCTTCAAGAAGTGACCATCCGATTGGGATCCGGCATTTTGGCTTTTGCTACTG